ATGCTGAGGATTGGAACCTCTTTACTCATTAAATGTCTATTGATTCGAGTCGGGTCTGCTTATAAAAACGAGAGGAAGATTATAGACGCATAAAAATCATTATTTGAACCAACAAAAAAATTAAGAGAAACTCGTCAAAAATTTATCCACACAGGCATGTCTATATTGTTTTAGCGGAAATTCAAATACTGTGCATTTATCAGATGCTGCTTGTGAAGGGAAGGACCTTCGTCCTTTTAATCCAATAGCAAAAGAAGTGAAGCTCATAAGTATCTCCGATAGTATCCTATGGCACCTAGAAACTTTACTAAAGAAGAAACACACTTTTTTTTCGTTGAAAAAAGTTGCCATAGTACTTAGTTAAAGACTACTAATTATGCAATAAAAAGTTTACAGTCAGTAATGACGCACACACAACGTCTTTAAAGTTGCGAATTAGCTGCAATAAACGAGGTCCGATGGTTGCAAAGTCGACGCCAACAGTATCTGGCAGCTATTGACTCTATTAGGTCATCCGTATGACGATATTTTTTTCCAGTTCTGAGTACTCATAGTACTTAATGTAGTTTAAGCGCTTTTCTTTTACACACGCTGCTCTTATATTATTGCTGTAAGTAGTTAAATAACAATTTAACGAATAAGAGTTTCTATGAAGAAAGCATAGAAATAACAACTTTAAAAATTAAAAAAACAACCAAGTTTTGGTAATAGTGTCTGTCTAGGTACACTAGTCTAGGCCACCACAGGCGTTATTGGCTGAAATTGGCCAACGGCTTAACGACTAACGTGTCCTCCAAATAAATTTTATTCTAAATATAATATTCAAGTGGCTAAAATTCAGTTCAGAACAAATAGAGGAACCTAAGAATCAAATCAGAACCTCCGGAACGAAGGAGTCCAATTTCATATTCAATAAAAGTCTTGTGTCTGAAAAAATGGTATTACGGATCTGCTGAAAAAAGATTCTGGTTGTGGTACATGTTACGAATCTGCTGAAAAAAGATTCTGTCGTTACAAGAATCTGTCCAAAGTCGAAAAAGGGTCTTTATTGGCGCCGACTGTAGTAATTCTCACCCCTAGTTTTTAGACCTCTCTTATTAAGTTCGCCGATGAACTGGTTTAACTAGTTAGTTAAACTAGTTTGAAAACTCATAAATTTTTGTTATGTATGAATTTGTTCGTTTATGGAATGACATCAAATGTAGTAGCAATAAATTTAATAGCATCTAATTAATAACAACTCCCTAGTTTTTTTTTTATTAGTGTGGCATAAGTTACTCATGGTCAAAAACGTGAGTTGATCACGTGCGAACAATAAACGGAATGATAAAAAAGAAAAATAGCGTCCTGCTGTCGAAACATAAGCCTACCTGCCTATTAACTTTCACTTATCAGATTTATGGAGCAATTTTCCTACAAAACTTTAAACTCGCTTCCACAACTAATAAAAAGAAAGAACGATTGCCTTGCGATTTTCCCAAAAACCTAATAAGTACATACTTCTTTAATTACTGTAACAACAGTAACTAAATCCTACTTTGCATTACAAAAAGAAAGGAGAAATATTAAAATAATAATAAATGTAGAAGCATTATGGAGACCATGACCCTTATTTATTACCTAAAAAGAACAATAACAAAAAGCGAAGGACATTGTCAATCCTAGTATCGAAGCTAGTAGAAATAAAGGCGAAATTTTTTCAGTGTAGGTACATCCGAGCTTAATGGCCGTAAGTATAAATTCTATGATAATTACACTGTAATCCGCTTACCAACGCAAATATTAAACGATGTAAATTAAATTATGATAAACAGGTATTGAGTTATGCTAATAGTGCTGCCCAATAAGTAAATTAGGTATTCTCTTTACAATGGAAAAGAGTATATAAAGACTTAAACTCTAACGTTCCTATAATAAAAAATACATTATGTGTTTTATTTATAACTTGATTTCTTTTATTCGAAATGCTAAATGTATAATAATAACAGAGAATATTAATTATACAACTTATTGGTACAATTGTACCTACAAAGAGGTTATTGTAAAATAAGCAATGTCAATGATGCACTAAATATGCATTTAAAATAAAAGTTCACGTAATTAGGTAATTTACATTTTTAATTTTTTAAGTCTAAATGCTAAAAATACCTATATTTTACATAATTTTGAAATTATGCATTTTATTTTTGTGACAATAAATATACAATAAGTATTATGAGCTAGCAAACACAAATATCCTTGGTTTGAGGACACTTCTTTTAGTTGGCTTTTATTTTTTTAATTTGATTTTGTTTATATTCAATTGTTTCATATTTAGAGATATAAATTGTCCCTTGTGTCCTTTAAAACGGTACAAAATCACGTTTTTATTTCTCACCTTTATGTAAACAGTGAACTTAGGTCGCTCTCCCGAACGTCGTGGTTCGTTTACATTATCGATACTGGCTCTATCTGTTGTAGGACTTGTAAGTACGTCACGGATTTGGACGACAGCACGTAGATAAAGTTAAATATTGTGGTATCTTTATACACTTATAAATGTAATAGAGGCTTTTTTGTAAAAAATATAAATTTAATAAACAACCAGCTTTTGAAAACTCCACGCCCGTGAAATTTTTTCAGTGACAAAAATTGTCACTCGCGTCCCTTAAAAAAAAAAAGAGATAAAATCTATCCTATGTCCCTTCCCAAGACTCAACTCAAACTATTTCTATATTCATCAAAATCGGTTCAGTGAATTAAACATGAAAACGTAGCAGACAGGGTTACTTTCGCATTTATAATATTATAAAATAAACGCGAATATTCCAATATCGTCCTCACTGCTGAAAATGTAGATTAATCAACATCTTGACCGCCATTAAACCAGTGAAGGCCGTGTTTGTAGCGCAATACTAACGGAGTCTACAAAGCAAAGTTGTCTGTTATCACGAACTAAAAACGTGTGCCAAAATTTTCCTAGATGTGAAAAGTACCTACTTATCAGGTTTAGGCTAGTTAGGTTTGGTTGACCGATGATAGAAATAATTATCGTGATTAAGAGTATACAGGGTGGAATTTTGTAATGCCACCTAGAGGGAAAGTACTCTTAATAATGTAGATAGAAAATTTTACTGAAAGAAAATATTCCTTTATTTTTGAAAAGAAATAGAACTACATTCAAAGATTTCCAAAAAATTGCTTACCACACCCGGGATTCGAACCAACTAAAATCTGTTAAAAATTACACCCTGTATTTTTATTGCATCGATCGTTAGGGTTAAGTATAAGGATGAAATCTCTCTAGAAAACTTGATAAATCAAATGAAAGGAATACCATGAAATCTTAAATTATATTAATTATGTACAGGAAATTGTATGGTATGGTAGAGAATTTTCGAAAAAAAATCGAAAATCTTTGAATGCAATTCTCTTTCTTTTCAAAAATAAAGGAATGTTTTCTTTCAGTAAAATTTTCTATCTACAGTATTAAGAGTACTTTTCCTCCAGGTGGCATTACAAAATTCCACCCTGTATACTACTATAGTATTACTTTTACACGTGTGGATAATTTTGAAACCTGAGCCTCTAATGTATGCAATATTGGTAAAGATTCTAATGTCAGTGACCGGTAATCGCCAGTTAAGGGGGGGTTAGGCGGTCAGCGAAAATTCATATGTGGTGTAAAGCTTTATATCAGACAGTTTGGTTTCCGAATAAAGTAAAATAAAATCAATAAATAAAATATTTGGTGCTGCACACAAAGTCACATACATTGTTCAACAAAATTACATACTTAATTATCTACCTAAACATTTAACATGAATGCACATTCAAAATAAAATAATAAATCAAAGATAAATAATAAAAAATAAATAAATGAAAAGTCATAAAAATGTAAATGAATTTAATGTCAATAATTCTACTAGTTTTTGGGCACAAGATCGTCTTGTTCCGACTCTCACATCATAATATTGTTTCGCTACTATCATGTGCCGTGCCAATACTTTGTGCCGAAACCATGTTGCGATACAAAGTGCCCTGACGCAAATGACGCTCTACGTAGTATTACCCTGGTATTACCATAGAAGGTTTAAGAAGTCTGGTTAGCCTCTACAAATAAGGCAAAATACAAACTCATTCACGAATAATGAGGTGCGGTAAAATGCGATGGTCAAGGGCAGGCAAGTAGGTACAATTTGGTATAATTAAATATGGTTATGTAAGTAATTACATAACATATTTTGTTAAAACGTATTAAATAGAAATTGCTTATTATACACTTTTAACTAATTATGTAATATGCATACTTATAATGATAGAGTCATTGAACTTAAAGCCTTTTCATAAAGCAGGACCTTGGGACACGGACGGACTCATATAAACAACGTTGATTAAATGACCCTACCGTTTTTTTCCACTCTTAGTTATGCAAGAATTAGCAGCCTTTGCATATTTTGAATTTAACACCCAGATTGACGTAGATTTTTAGAAAAAATAGAATGTCACATTGATAGAACATGTAATCCTCACAGAGACTATATTAATTGCCTATTTATGATAAAGAGAGCTTCCTCTTTGTGGATAAAAAAAAATGCAAGCGAAAGCCCGTGGCAGCGATAGATGTTCAAAATCAAATCTAATACTCAATTATGTGGTTTAAAACCAACGATGTGTTTCCCAAATAAACATATAACATTACTGAAAACTTTTATAATTAATCTTTCCGGCAGTTGGAGGTTAATAAGCCAGTTCCTCTGTGGTTGAGGATTCACACTCTTTCCATCAGAGAATTAGGCCAAGAGCTTCCTCGGTAGCGGATAAAAAAAAGTTTATTAATAAACTATTTTAAGTAGGTTAATATTGTTTTCTTTACATAAAGAACAGTCTTAAAATACAGGTTATTTTAAGCTTTGTATCAGTAGTTAGAAGAATAACATGAAATGAAAGGAAAAAAATATTGGATTTGCGTTTAACTAGAAGTGAATTAAGTATTATAAAAGTTTCCACAGTTTACTAACCTTCGAATGACGTCAATGCGTCTGTAACCAGTTAAAAAAGAACATTCTGGAGCAAAGCGAGTACAAACTGGCGAAGGGCCTACGTCATAAGGCTTATAAAAATAATATAAATAAAACCCGAAATGCAACAGACCTTTTTACAATGAGTATGCACCATCATTACTTACATATAATATCAATGCTTGTTTACCATTTTGTCATCGTTATTTAAATAATTTATTTTATTTGTTATTATAAAATTTATAGTAGATAAACGTAACGTGTATATAAAAAAGTCTTTGTGTTGAACTTTTTTTCAAGAGGACTTTAAAAAAATTGCCTGCTGTGAAATGGGACTAATCCCGACTCTCGGTTATGTTACTACTGCAACTCCTGTAGGTCTACGTGTATCTTGGTTTTCAAACCAATCAATGTTGGTTAAGTAATCCCGGGGGATAGCTACCCGTCTTAGAAAACGAATTAATTTAATCAGAATAGGTATGCAATATAATATGTAATCATGTTTTACACCATTCTAAAAATTCAATAAACATCATTTCATTTCATCATTCATCGTTTTCACAAAAAAGTTTTCCACAATGCATTCGAGTTGATGAATCAATGCAATGAATTAAAAAAAATAACCGGTTTATTAAAAACCACGCATTCATACAAATACGAGCATCTAGCCTAGTGAGACGTTCGTAGAGACAACGGAATATACANTTAAAATGCAGATTTTTCTCAAAATGTATCATTTTTTTATTATTTGTTACCATTTTCTGAGTATTTTATGTATTTTTTTAGTATCGCCTGTTATTTAGCATTATTACTGTTTTTATTTTATCAGGATATACCTCTTAGTTTAAAAGTTATTACGTTTTCTTTACAAGAAGTAATTGGAAGAAAAAAATATCTCAAAAAGGACATCATCCATTTTGGTCCAAAATCAAAAGTGCCGGCCAAAAAATAAAAGTGCTGTATTCTGATAGAACACGTCCACCTGGGCATTTGTTACTATGGCACCAAAGCTGTAGCACCACTGTGCATCGTAGTATTTGAGTTCTAAAAGTATGTCTTTTTAACATTTACGATTAAACTATTTACAAATGAAGTATCTTGCCGAAACTGGCGTTTTTAATATGTTTTTGTTAACACGATGTACTTATTGTCGTTCATATACACTGCATACCCAAAAAAATGCACCATGAGTACCTACAAACAATAAAAAGAAATAATAATAATTCGACGCACAGTGGTGCTACAGCTTTGGTGCCATAGTAACAATGTTAAGGCAGACGTATTCTGTCAGTATACAGCACTTTTGATTTTGGACCAAAAATATATGAAACGTTTTTAATCAATATTTTCTTATGACGTTGTCAACGTTGTAAACCGACTTTACAGACAACAATTTTTTTTTCTTCAAATTATGGCCTACTTTTTAGCGGGATCTGGGGGCCCCTTGTAACCCCGGGGCCCTGGGCTGCAGCCCAATCAGCCCATAGGTAGATCCGGCCCTGTATATCGCCCACTACTCATACCAAGGCATTGTATATCGTACGCTGCCTTACAGACACAGCATCGTAGGTATTCATATTTAGGTAGCAATTTGGCGCATTTGAAACAATAATTCTTAGAAGACATGATGTTTGTTGTTCTGACTGAAGCGCCCTCTATATTATGTACACAACACTAGTTGCTTGTAATATGGCAGTATACTTGCAGCTACCAACAAGTTTGACAATTGGCAAACAGATGGCGCTAAATCACAGTCTATGTATATGTGGGTCGGAGAATTTGTTGGCTACTTTACTTTTTAGGTTATGAAAAAAATTATAATCAATGAAACACTGTTTTAATTAAGAGTTCACATTTAGATATTATGCACATGACTATTAGGAGGTATATTCTTAAAACTTGGTTTCTTCTTTTTAGGTCTATTTCAGTCACAAATCGTCCACTTTTCAATAAATTATTTCCATTAGTTTTAGTCACTATTTCACAGTTTTAACGTTGGATAACATTTGTACATGCACAATAGCTATTATGAACACGATTAACCATTTGTTACAGCATTGTCACTACTTAAAAACTTCACAAAATAATTAATTCGCCGGAGCTGCACATTCACCGAGAGCCAGCGCCCTCTCTTTTTTATTATATTATATTAGACAGTTACCCCCTTACTAATAAAACTTACACGCTCGTTGATCAGTGTTTTAAAGTGACGTTTAGTATGGAAATGTCATTTAAAAACAATGATCAACAACTGTGTAACTTTTTATTAGTAAGGGGGTTAATAAGTAAATTAACACTGTTTGGTTTCCGAATAAAGTAAAATAAAACATAAATCAAATATTTGGTTCTACTAGTTTTTGATCGTCTTGTTCCGACTCTTACATCATATTGTTTTGTTTCACTCTATCATGTGCCGTGCCAATACTTTGTGCCGAAACCATGTTGCGATATAAAGTGCCCTGACGCAGATGACGCTCTACATGTAGTATTACCAGCGCCTGGTATTACCATAGAAGGTTTAAGAAGTCTGGTTAGCCTCTACAATTAAGGCAAAATACAAATTCATTCACGAATAATGAGGTGCAGTAAAATGCGATGGTCAAGGGCAGGCAAGTAGGTACAATTTGGTATAATTAAATATGGTTATGTAAGTAATTACATAACATATTTTGTTAAAACGTATTAAATAGAAATTGCTTATTATACACTTTTAACTAATTATGTAATATGCATACTTATAATGGTAGAGTCATTGAACTTAAAGACTTTTCATAAAGCAGGACCTTGGGACACGGACGGACTCATATAAACAACGTTGATTAAATGACCCTACCGTTTTTTTCCACTCTTAGTTATGCAAGAATTAGCAGCCTTTGCATATTTTTAATTTAACACCCAGATTGACGTAGATTTTTAGAAAAAATAGAATGTCACATTGATAGAACATGTAATCCTCACAGAGACTATATTAATTGCATATTTATGATAAAGAGAGCTTCCTCTTTGTAAATAAAAAAAAATGCAAGCAAAGCCCGTGCCAGCGTGAGATGTTCAAAATCAAATCTAATACTCAATTATGTGGTTTAAAACCAACGATGTGTTTCCCAAATAAACATATAACATTACTGAAAAGTTTTATAATGAATCTTTCCGGCAGTTGGAGGTTAATAGCCAGTTCCTCTGTGGTTGAGGATTCACACTCTTTCCATCAGAGAATTAGGCCAAGAGCTTCCTCGTTGCGGATAAAAAAAAAGTTCATTAATAAACTATTTTAAGTAGGTTTATATTGTTTTCTTTACATAAAGACATTCTTAAAATACAGGTTAAGAAACATGATTGGATATGCGTTTAACTAGAAGTGAATTAAGTATTATAAAAGTTTCCACAGTTTACTAACCTTCGAATGACGTCAATGCGTCTGTAACCAGTTAAAAAAGAACGTTCTGGAGCAAATGTGAGTCCAAACCGGCGAAGGGCCTACGTCATAAGGCTTATAAAAATAATATAAATAAAACCCGAAATGCAACAGACCTTTTTACAATAAGTATGCACCATCATTACTTACATATAATATCAATGCTTGTTTACCATTTTGTCATCGTTGGTTAAATCATTTATTTTATTTGTTATTATAAAATTTATAGTAGACTAGCTTTCCGCCCGCGGCTTCGCCCGCGTGGAATTTTGTCTGTCACAGAAAAACTTTATCGCGCGCGTCCCTGTTTCAAAAACCGGGATAAAAACTATCCTATGTTCTTTCCCGGGACTCAAACTATCTCTATGCCAAATTTCATCAAAATCGGTTGCGAGGTTTAAGCGGGAAAGCGTAACAGACAGACAGACAGACAGACAGACAGACAGACAGACAGACAGACAGACAGACAGAGTTACTTTCGCATTTATAATATTAGTTGGGATAAACGTAACGTGTATATAAAAAAGTCTTTGTGTTGAACTTTTTTTCAAGAGGATTTTAAAAAAATATAGCCTACTGTCAAATGGGACTAATCCCGACTCTCGGTTATGCTACTACTGCAACTCCTGTAGGTCTACGTGTATCTTGGTTTTCAAACCAATCAATGTTGGTTAAGTAATCCCGGGGGATAGCTACCCGTCTAAGAAAACGAATTAATTTAATCAGAATATGCAATATAATATGTAATCATGTTTTACACCATTCTAAAATTCGATAAACTTCATTTCATTTCACACATTCATCGTTTTCACAAAAAAGTTTTCCACAATGCATTCGAGTTTATGATTAATCAATGCAATGAATTAAAAAAAAATAACCGGTTTAAAAACCACGCATTCACACAAATAGAGACAACGGAATATAATTATGTAGAGTTCCTTCCAATAAGTACTATTAAAATTTTAGTAATGTCTGTAATTTGATTATCTGTGAATCCTTAAATTGCAAATAAACTTTATTGAAGCATCCGACTTGAGTCATCACTCTCTGATTAGTTTAGGATAATATACAGATTAAAGCCCTGTTTCTGAATTAATAAACACTTAAACTCCGAAGGCCCTATTGACGTAAAGACTGTGGAATTGTACAGGCTAATAATATCTTTTGACCCGATCATAACTGGTATACAGATTCGGCCGAGCTATTTTTGGATTTAAAAATACAAAGCGGTAGTATGCAGATATTATCTTTTTTTTCCTGACGTCGGCAATAAACGAAGGTGCACTAAGGTGTTTTTATTAACCAATCTGTAGATAATGTTTAATAAAGAAATTACTTTAGGTTCGCTAATAATCATCTGAATTGACACACAGTGTAAACTAAAAATACCTCAAATTAAATCACATTACCTATACATGAAGTCAATAAGTTATTAATAGAAATAGATTTTATAATAGTTGTTTGTCGTCAATGAACTTTAGCCAATTAGCACTTAAAAATTTCCATCAAAACAATCATTATTTTTATTTAGTCATACAATAAATTCTTCTGAAAAGCTCTACAATTCATGAATTTAGATCCACAATGATCCAACCGGTATTTTGAATAAAAAACTACATGCATCGTTTTTTACTTGCAAAAAATGTGCCAAACACTTTTCATCAACATGTGTGACTTTGACCACTGTG